TCCCCTTTCAGGACTTATAAAGACTCTGTGTAAGGGAGGTCTTTATGTTTCTTTACCATTACAGCAAAATCAGCCTTTTATTACTTTAATTTTCAATGTGAAATAGCAATCAAGATTGTCAACTAAAAGTGAGAATGGGGAATGGGTGGGTATTTGGGGGGTGAAGAATTATGAAATTGCTTAGAGAGTAGAAAAGCAAATAGATTAGGAAACACAGTCCAATTGCTGAGTGACAATAGCACCCCTTTATAAGTAGGTATGATGGTGTATTGTGCTCTATGTGTAGACAAATATAAGTAGAGAATTGGAGTTGATCCTGGGGCATGGTTTAACTAGCAAAAATTAGGATGAGAGCGGGATCAAGAAGAAGTTGTATCTAAGAGAATGATTATAATGCTGAATCGTGGATTTTAATAAGTGCTTAGGGAGAAAGCCAAGGGCATCAAAAGTTGATCACTAGTGAAAATGGTAGATTCACAGGCCAGTAGGTCAAAGGATTGCTGGGATTTGAATTCTATGAGAAAGTAAACTGAAAAGATACAAAGAGGTGGTCAGAGATGCAGTGCATGCAACCAAGGAATGGTTGCAATTAATGGCAATGATGTCTATAGGATGACCACAAGGCTGATTGGCAAGAGTAGGGTTGAAGGCAAGTTCCCTAAGGAAAGAAGTTCAAGGACCTAAAAGGGCAGGATTTGAAAGGATCATTTATGAATATACTGAAATCCCCAGTAATTAAGACAGACATACAAAAAGTTAAATGACAGTGATTTAGATGCTAAAAACATCCAGAAAACAAATGAAAAAACCTGAAAGTTACTACATGAAAGGAACAATAAGTGACATTAGATTTGTAATCTGGTACAGGAAGTTCAAATCTAGGAGGATTTATAGAGCAGAAATGATGACACAGAAGTGGCAATGAGAAGTAAAAAACCCATCATCAGACACAGTGACAGATGTGTGAGGGCAACACAGTCAACAAGTGAGAGGGCTGAAGAGGTTGATATGTTCTCAAAAGACAGCCTCATTTCAATTTTGAGAAGATGATGAATGAAAGCCCTGAGAGTGTGCTACATTTTATTAAGTATGGACTAGACTGCCAGAGGGTACACATTCTATTACACCTTGATGCCCATCTATAATTTCCTGGTTCTTATGGTAGAGTGGAGGAAGGTTTATCTGGGCTGATGCAGTGTGTTCCACTGCATCATTCTAGTAAGTGAAAAGACAAATTAGAAACTAGTATTGCATATATGTATATATATAGTTTACACATATAAAACAAATTCTAGAAGTTAGCAAGCTATAGTTGGCAGAGATATCTTTGGGGGTAGCTAACTTTAATGTTCAAGGTAGACTTTTACCTGTACCTTAGTTCCGGTTTCAGTGCAGTACTGCAGTGTAAAACGTGAGCTGTCTTATCAACAGGTTCACTTCAGTGGATTCAACCAACCACAGATAGAAAATGTTTGAAAAAAAATGTATTTGTACTGAGCATGTACTGACTTTTTCTTTCTTATTATTTCCTAAATGGTACAATGTAATGACTTTCACATAGCACTTAGTTTTGATAAAGAAGATTGTTCAGGCATTTGTCTGAAAATAGTATGAAAGGGGAGTACATAAGGAGTACAGATTAGAACAAAATTACTCAGGAGCTCAGTAAGGTTAAAATAGGGTTATGGCTACATGGGAGTTCATTGTAATGTCCTATCTACTTTTATGTGTATATTCCAAATTGCCCATAATAAAACTTTGTATTATAAGAAATAACTTTTAATTTCTCAGACAGTGTAACAAGTGATACTTAGTCAAACTCTGTTCCAATTTAATTCCATAAATTATTATTTGCACTCAATTTGAGGAATTCATGGGCCCAGCTCTCATGTTGTTTATAGCATAAAGGAGAAGTCAAACAATTAGCAATCAAAAAATTAGGAGACAAATAAAAGAAGGCCTTGTGAGTCATGTTGAAGAGTTTGGGTTTTATCCTGAAAAAAATGGAAGCCCACTTAAGTGTTTTAGCCAGAGAAAAATATCACCAGATTTCTCTGTATTATTCACTGTAATGTGATGAACTGATTAAAAACAAACTAAAAAAGTGTGATCAGTTAGAAGACTGTTATAGTCATCTAGGGTTATATTGGTGGATGTCTGCAATATAAAGGAAGTGGAATGCAAACAATTCTGAAAAGAAATGCTGGGTGAGTAAGTGTGATGTCATAAAGCTGGGGGATGTCTCAAGAGTCAAACACCAACCAGGGATTAGGTAGGATGATTATTTACTGCCTAAACCACAGAAGCCATAAAGAGTTGATCTTGTCATTCCTTTTCTCAGAAGCATGCATTATTGTGAACACTGAGAATAATGTCTGCATTGCCTATTGTGCCAATCAACAGTCTGGTCTTATCTCTCTGCATATCTCTTTATACAGTACATGCTAAGGACAAACCCATTTGATTTGATGGAATAAACTGAGAAATTTTATAATCTCTTGCTTTAGAGATTCAAATTTTGTCTCATCCTTATAATTCTTAGACTGAAAAACAACTCCTCTATGTACCTCTCCCATTATGCATTCCTCCTTCTTGTGTGCCCTAAACACATCAACTGGGCCTCATTTTTCATGTAGGTAGTTACTTCAGTATGACTTCGTACATATTATAGTGCATTCACTCTTTTCTTTTTTGGTGGTGGTACTGGGGTTTGAACTTAGAGCCTCGTGATGGCTAGGCAGAATGCTACCACTTGAGCCGTGGTTCTAGTAAGTTATAAAACTTTTCAGAACAAATAATGTGTTATTTCACCTTTATCTTTTTCAATTACTTTTACTTATTTTAATAATCAATAAATATTTATTGAATTTAAATGTCTTCTTATTCTCTTGAATCCATATTTCTACAGTGCTGAGTAATGATGAAAGCTTTCACAAGAAAAAAATTGATTTGAACTTAATAAATGCAAATCCATTTTATGAACATGGTGACAACATTAAGATATGAAATGACAGTGCAAACTTGAGAGTGCATAAAATTCTTTATTTAGAACAATAAAGTATATGTATATATAATGTAATTTCAAATTCAAACCTGTATAAAAAGGGTCAGGACATATACCTATTTTAAAAAGTACACATACAGTATATACACATACACATCACATTTTACAATCTTTTTTATTTAATTAAACTTCGGTCATAATAAAACTATTTAGAATAGTGTTGACATACATTTACATTACAATATTCAAACTCCAATCAATGACTGAACTAGGGATATATCTGTGCATCCATCTAAATGTCTGAATACTTTTCAAGTCCGTTGACTTAAAAAAAACAGTGGCAAGTGGACAGTAAAATCATACATTAGTCCTTAGAATATAGGAGAATGAGCTATTTTGATTGGGAAATTATATTTAGTGAGTCTTATAGCTCAAAAATCAAGTAAATGAAAACACTATGGTTTTTAGATGAACAAGGTTATAAGAATATAGTTGGAGATGGCAGTTACAGATTGACAATGCTTAGCAAACATTTTAGGATCATAAATACCCATTTTAATATGAATCATTTCTAAAATAACACCTTATTATGAAGTGAAAGTACCATTTGTTATTTTATGTTCACAAAGCCATTTCAAGCTAGTTAATGGAAAGCAATAACACCATGAGTTGTGTAAGCAAATTCCATAAATGAACTTTAATCTGAATAGCTATATGCTAAAGCCAATTCAGAAGAATATTATTTCAAAGATATGCTGGCTCACTTTAAAGTTCTTGTCCCACTTTCCAATTTTAAATGTAATTTATGTATTATCCTTTTATAAATTGATTTTAAAATGCCTGTTGGCATTCAAAACTTTATGAGCATCTTAGATCTTCTGCTCTTAGCTTTCAATAAAATGAAAACATTTTAATGCTTACTTTGGTGCTTTTCCAAATGTTACACACATTTTATAGTCGTTCTTCCTGACTAAAATGCACTACTGGTTTTCATTCTTCAAAGGTGATCCAAAAACATTTATTTAAGCAAAGGTAAAAGCCATCTCTTATGTAAATCATTATCAATTCACTGGATTGGAGACTGAAATTCACTTTTACTAGTGGACCCTATTTACATTAGCAACAAAAACAGCAAGACTTTGTATAGTCGAGATGCTTATTCAGAGACCAGAGTTGGATCTTCTGTATGGAACAATTTCTGCTTTATTTTATTTTAAGGCCTTACCCTAAGGAGTGACCCCTGAATTTACCATACAGCTAACTATAAAATTGAGATCCAAGTGGGGAGGAGGAGGTGACTTGCCATGTTAGTTAACGGCTGAGTAGAGGCTCCTGTCAAGCTTTCTCAACGTCCATCCCACTGTGCCAAGCTGCCTTTTTGAAAAACATATTTCTTAAAGAAGACTAGGTATGGAATGGCTAAAGGCTCCACATTAGGATTAAATCTTGAAACCAAACCTACTGCAAAAACACATTAGGAAACAGCCACAATTTCAGAATAGACTTTTCTGTTCATTTATTATTACTCAACACAGTTTCTCCAAAGCACATTAATACTCAGCAATGTGTGTTTAATTCCTACTAAAAGCAAGTACTTTATGGACACATACTTTTTCATGTATGTAATTTTTAAGATTATCAGTTTCTTGTTTCATTATCATATTGAAAAACATCAATTTGCCTCTCACTCATTAAACGTGACAGTGTGGTAAGCCCATTGGATTATTCTACAATATCCAGGAACACTTCAGTGTCACTGGGAAGGCCCCATATATCACAGAGCCAGTTTCTTTACAGACTTGGTTTCTATCAAAGAGGTCCAAAGCTTTCAGTATATTTAGAATCTGCAGACTTCTGAGAATATTTTAATTAAAAGGCAATTTGGAGACACTATCAGATACATGGCACCAATTTAAAAGGCAATTTCATGGTTTATCATCTCAGTTGTGAGTTTTCAAATAATTTATGTAAAAGGATATTCAAAACATATATGGGATAAAATAAGCAAAGATACATATTTTTAATCTGAAAGCAGATATGACATAGTTAATATCCAAGCAGCTAGCATCCGAAGCAATATTCAGCATTTTTCTATTGTTCATGCATTTTATTGAACCTTAGTGTTTTAAAAATTGACAATCCATGTAACTCTCAATGAACCAATACATATAATAGGCAGGACACATATCCATCCCTACCATGTTAAATTTTATAACCTGTTAAATTTGTTTACTTAGGTCTGTTGATTAAGACCATGCCCTTGAGTGTTAAAACCCAACAACTAACTTTGAGAACAAAAGCATATTTATTGTACACTCAAGTTCAGTAAATAGCATTTTCAGATGCTCAAGTAAATTGAAACTTCTAGATAAATAGATCAAAGCATCAGACTGAGAAATATCAATATTCTCAACCTATACACACCCACACATGTAACTCAAGTTAACCTATACCTAGTTTCCAAAACAATCTATGCCACACACTGAGATAGGTCCTTTCAGCAATTAAACTGATCTCTAATTTTATTGCTAATCAATTGTACCATGGGATATTTGAGGGCCTGAACAAGTTAATGAAGCTCCCCAATGCACTTGGGTTGGGCTTAGAGAAAATAACTAGTGCCTGAGGAACCACAGCACTGCAGAGAAGAAAGGGACCATGGAAATTATTTGAGCTCTTTGGTATAAAAAAGAGCAAAGGCCACACACTGGAGCTGCACTTGAATTCGCTTTGAATACAAGCTAAAATCCAAACATACTAGAAATTCTTGGGCTTTTAAAACCAAAGAAAAGCTAGCAGTTTGTTTTTCATGCCATTTTGAATAAGTACATTTAAAAATGGTTATCTTATAGTTATAGTATATGGCAATAATGTTATCATAAGGATTAAATTAAAATGAAAAACTTTGGATCCCTTTATGTATTTGCTCATGATACATTAAAAAAAATCTTCACCAAAATCAAACCATAAGAAAAATCATTTTTTGACTTTAGCCAGGTGTTCTTCTGACTATAAAAAATGGTAAGGGGGAATTTACATAGTGTCTTACAAATTTTAATTTAAAAGCACAATGTCCACCTTAGGAATTCCTGGCAAATTCACTCTTAATATGACAAATGCTGTCACACATTTTAAATAGCAAACTGACATGCATAACTACATAAAGCTCTCTTTTTATTTATAATTCATGAACCTTAATGAATATAGAGTGCCTGATTTTTAAATAAATGGTTCCTTTAAACACATAATGGTGATTATGCTAAAGTTAACTAAAGTTTCCTGATTCTTTGCAGTCTTGTAAAATCCAAGTAACCTAGTTTTCAACACCCATATCAGCATGTGGGTGTGGTTTTCTAATCCTAGATGCTAAATAATCATAATTTTTATTCTCTCCCATGATGGAAACTAAAAATGGGAACTTCATAGATTCAGCATTTTCTCCCAAGTCCGTTTACATACCTTTGTAATAGTTCTAGAAGATAAACATGTCATAATATATTTATACACTCTAGAGTGATCAAGGGAAAAGGCCAACGTCACTAGAGGGGCCAAGTGTCCTTCTTGGCCCAGTCTTCAGCTGGTCAGTGTTCATAACTTCTTCCTGCAATGACTACTTTCAGAGAGTCTTCCCTACATCAATGCATCACAGTTCTAATTCAGCACTGGCTCCCCTGCATGGATAGAACCAGCCAACCATGTTCCTCTCTCTAGTGGGATATGGGTGAGCATGGTCTGTCAGGAAGATATCAAGGTCAGACCCCTTTTGTTAATCAGCACCTAAGAGCTGATGTGCCTGCTCCAATCATCATTCCCATTCACTGCTTTCCACTCCATTCAGTGGCTGATGTTACTGAGTTTTGTTTTTTAAATTGTTTTCTAGTTCCCTTTGAAAAAAAAAATTATTCCCCCCACTCTCCAGATTGAAATTGACTTGCAGAGATCAGGACAACTACAGATTTAGGTTGTAACTGAAGAGTAAAGCTGTGTTCTTCAGCACTTAGACACTTCTGGAGCCATGCAAATGGTGCATGTGGACTGGAACACGTGCTTTCTCTCCCCTCATCACTTGCAAGTTTGAATGAGACCACAAGACTCCAGGTCCTTCAAACAGAGTCCTGTTCCATGCAAATTCTTCTTTAAAGATGATTAATTCATGGCCAGTTTCACAGTAAAACACTGTTCCAATTTCTGAATCATCCACATAAAGTCATGGGTAGCAAGAACAGATAAAGATTAGGTCTGTCATTTCAGACAGAATAGGAATTTGTTTTAAAGCTGCTTCATTTATGAAGCAAACATGAACTGTTACCAGCCTAGAAAAGAAGGAAATAAAAAAGAGAGATTATGGCATGTCTGCTTTCTACCCTCCTTTCATTCTCAATAGCAGAATTCATATAAGACCATAGAAAGAATAGTAGATTGACATTGTGTATTACATTTAGCCTAAAAGAACTGGGCAATTTTCTTGGCTGTGATGATCAGCCACTCTCTATGGTTTCCATGGAAACACTTAAGATTATCTCCAATGACCTTCCTTATTATTTATTGTCTATCTCCTTCCATTAGAATGTAAGCTCCATGAGGTCAGGGAATGTCACCTTTTTTACTATTGAACATCAGCTTTTATAATAGTGCCTGGCACATAGAATAAACTCAATAAATACTTTTTGAATATAAGAATAGATAAATGAGTACTCTGTGGCTTCCATCCCTCCAGGAATACCAACAATTATTTCAATTTGTGATATGTGGGTTATCTATTTAGCCATGAGTTTCTCTAGTATGTAGAATAGTATACAGGTGAGTGAAGAAGAGTTGAAGGAAAAGGCAGTGTCTGGAGAGTGGAAAGTAGAAACAGATGGAGCAGCATGAAAGAGCTACTTAGGACAGGTAGAGAACCTGGTCAGAGGCTGTAACAAGTAACAGCCTCATAGCCACTGAGCAGTTTCAGTATCTTGGCTGTCTAGTTAGGTTCTAGCAATCACTTTCCCCAACTGAGGAAATAGCAGTAGCAAGATCTCATTCAAATTTCCATTCAAAAGAAAAAAGACTGAAATTCTGGCACTACATTTGCCCTCACTACAGCTTATTGTATTTGGTAAAGAATAAAAGCCATACTTTGTTTCAGTTCTTTAATGCTGACGTTCACACACTGAGCTTTCAGAGTTTTCAACTTTCCAGTAATTCAGGAAAGCATAATTAAATCCAGAAAGAAAAATTAAGAGACATTGAGAGTAAATTTCAGAAATCAAAAATATATAGGGGATATTTTAAAAAACAAAGCATAGTTAAATAAACAAAAGAGATTCACAAAAAGCAAAAGGATATAACCTGAAATTATAGACTTAATTAAATGTAGAGTTTTTATTTTGTCCCTGGGTCACTTAGCAAAGAATATAAACTTGAAGGCTGACAACTGTTTTCCCATAGAACACACTACAATTTTTATAATGATACCCTCGATTTTTATAACAATCTCATGTAATAAGCAGGACAAGTATTATTTTCCCCTCATTATACAGTGATGTGTCCCTTAATGACAGGATACATTCTGAGAAATGAAGTCTTAGGTGATTCTATTGTGCAAACATTATAGAGTGTACTTATACAAACCTCAATGGTATAGCCGCTACACACCTAGGCTATATTATAACCTTTTGGGATCACGATCATACAGGTCTCAACATACTGTTGACTGGGACACTGTTATGTAGTACATGACTACATATGAAAAAAAACCAGGGGTTAAAAGACATTAACTGACTCATTCAGGGTCCTACAACTATTAAGTTTCAGAGCCAAGGCTTGAACACAAGTCTAGTCCCTTCTCATTCCCCACTTTGCAAGGTAGCTACAGAAAGAAAGCTCAGAAACAAAATTCCCAATGCTCCAGAAATTTTTAGAAAATTATCCAGTAAAAATTCATAGATCTTGATAATTTGTAAGCTACCATTCCAGAGTCCTGTGCCCTAAACATCCAAGCTTGACTTGAGTTTGTCCTTGTTTCAATTGTAAGATGGATTTTGTTTTATCATAGCCCAGATCTACAGAAACATTTTAGTATGTGTTTCTTTTATCAGTCTTTCCACATGCTTACCTGTAATGAGAATTACTTTCTACATTTACCATGGTGGAGTAAGTCAAGGAACTGTTTAACTGAGTACATGCTATAAATACATGATACTGAATTGTCAACCAGACTGAGCCTTCTCTGTGAGTAAGCAGTCTTTCTCCCAAGGTCCCAATTAAGATTCTTTATACATGACTCCCAAATTCCAAATCCATGGTTTCCAACCCCAGCTGTTCTTTGCAGTTCCAGTCTAACATGTTTGGCTGCTGGTCAGTTCCACCAATATTTGCCAACAGTTCCTTTTCCTGACTTCTCATTTTCTTTTAATAGCACCACCATCTGCTAATCCCATAAACTCCAAATCATACATGAGTCCTGTCTAGCTTCACATCCCATCAGTAACAAGGAACTGTTGATTCTTTTCCTGCAATGTCCCCAAATTTTCCTACTTTCCTTTAGCCATGGCCCTGACCCTAGTTCAGGTGATCATCTGATTGGAAGATGGGCCTCCTGCTGCCATATCCTTCTATCGACACCAACACCTGACCTCCTAAACCTCTGCTTTGATGGGATTAGCACCTCTTTTCTACCCCTTCAAACAGCTCTTTGTCTTATGTAACAGAGCACAGAATAGGTTCCTAGAATTCAGAACCTTTCAAACTGATACCCCCTCTTTCTTCTCAGCATTGACCCTGTGGAGTATAACTTCCTCTGGACTACATTTGTAAAAACTTTGAACAGTTTTTACTCTGGGGCCTTCCTGACTTAGTTTATGCAATCTGCAGTATTTAGAGAAACTCCTTCTATTGGTAATAAACTCTGAATCATCATCCAATAACTATCTTAGTGCAAAGCTACTTCCATCACTTATAAAATGAAGACTTTTGTCTGTTGCTCATGATTTCTCAGTCTCTTCAAATAAGTTGATTGTATATGGATGCACCTGGCACAATTCTAGATATTCACACCAATATGTAGGGTGATGTTGAGTTTACATCTTGTACAACCATGTGCAGTAGCCCTGACATTAAGTTCTTATTGCATTTTCTTTGTTAGCTCCCTTTGTTGCTTCCTGTATAAACCTAGAGCTTACTTTTAAAAAGTTGTTCTCTATATGTCTTATTTTGTTTTGTAGGCTATAAGCAATTTTATGATACAACTAGGCTACACTAAGTTTCGTATCTACAAAGTACCTACAAGAGTTTGTTGGAATCACCATTTGTGGGAACAAGGAAAAGCAAAAATTTCTCATAATATACTATCATAAATGAGGCTTTAAATGTAACTTATCTCTATTTTATTTCTTTCTTTTAAACTGTGCTACACACAACTCAATACATGAAGTGTTCTTAAAGGGTAGTTGGCATCAGTGAGGTGACATGGTGGACTTTTAACTTTCACGTAAATGTTTTCATGTGTCACTGACACTGAATAAACACAATTTTAGGAATTTTTTTCTTAGAAGCAAACATGTTTTATTTCTATTTTATTAGCTAATTCCCACCACATTTTTTCCTTATTTTTAAAATACTTATCTTCTTTACTTCTTTTTCTTTCCAAATTATAGATTATTTCCTTTGGAAAGTTAACTATTCCAGTGTTCCAATATTTGTTGTGATTTAATTTGCTTTAGTTGGTAAATCTTATATTTTAGGGGAAATACTTGTCATAAATAAGAGGCTTTTTCTTTGTTTCTCCTTTCTCATTAACCAAGAAAGTGATTATTATCCAAATTACATCTAATTTTTTCAAGTATGTTGGCACTTTGTTCTATTTTGGCACTTTTTCCCATAGTTATTCTTAATATTTGGAAGATTTCCTGTTTCATCAGGTTATATTTTGCTCCCAAAATCCTTTCTCTCTCACCAAAGTAGATTTAAAGTTCCTTAGAGAGGTGTTTTTTTTGTTTATTCATTCATTTTCTATAGTGGGGATTTAACTACCTTGTGTATATTAGGTAAACAGTCTATCACTCAGCTACTTCCTTTTGTTTATTTCTTTAAATTTTAGTTTGAGAGAGTCTTGTCCAGTTGCCAAAGTTGGACTGCAACTTGCAATCTCCCTGCCTTAGCCTCCCAAATAGTTGGATTACCAGTGTGCACTGCCACACTCAGCCCTTTGGAGGGTCTGGTACAAGGACAAGCGTAGGCTTTGCTCTATACAATAGTTAGTCAGTCAGTTACTACAGATGATACACATCTGACTTTGGGATTTGCAGATTCCTGGTGATAAGGTTGCTCCCTCCCACTTTTACCCTATTTTTTCCATGGCATTTGAATTCTTTTTTTTTTTTCTTTTGGAAATACTGGGGTTTAAACTTGGGGCTTTGCACTTGCTAGGCAGGCACTCTAACACTTGAGCCATGACCCCAGTCCTTTTTGCTTCTAGTTAATTTTCAGATAGGGTTTTACATTTATGTCTGACCATGATCCTCCCATTTATATTTCATGTGGCTGGAATGAGAGGCAGGAGCCCCTCTGCTCAGCTTTATTGATTGTGATGGGGTCTTGTGAACTGTTTGACCAGACTGGTCTAAAATCACAAACCTACTAGTCTTGCTTCCTGAGTAGCTGGGATTACAGATATGAGCCACCATGCTCAATTCAGCATTTGAACTCTTATGTTTGTGTTTTTATCTCCATAAATTTAATCTTACCTTATTGTAATTCTCTGAGTTTTTTTTTTCATGTCTTCATTTATCCAACAAATGTTTATTTATCACTTACATGTACAAAGTATAAGTTATATAGTTTGGTGGGATTCCAAGATTAAGTACAGAAACAAATATTTCTCTGTAAGAGCTCATGGTTTCAAAGAAGACAAAAATATCTTTAAGTGATAAGCAAAAATGATATTCTACCAAGAGTCAAACGAAATTTAATTGAAAGCCCACAAATAGAGATTAGTTTAATGGGAAGCCAGACTTTTGGAAGTGGTGGACTCTGCACTGACCCTTCACAGAGCTCTGCAGAAATGATGACAAAAGAGAATTAGTCACAGACTTCTTCATTTATCCCACCATCCATTTCACACTGACCACTCAATACGTGTGATGATTTTACTTCTGAACACTTCTGAACTTCTTTTACCTGTCTAATTTGATTCATTTTATACATGAGTAATAGTTCATGCTTTTGAAAAAATAAAACTAACAATAGACTTCCTGAATGACTTGCTGTGTACACCTGACTGCCCACTGATCAAAACCAGAAAATTAAATATATTCACATACACACACACACACAATACAAAAACAAGTCCTACTTCAGAAGAATCATCTCTTACCACTTGGTTAAACTTCACTTAAGCCTTATTCATTTGGTCAGTCTCTCATTCAACAAACATTTATCAAGGGCCCACATTGCACAAGCAACAAGTTCCGTGTTGGGGATACGGCAAGAACCACACAGACCCAGATCCTGTCCTTGCATGTTACCTGACTAGTAAAAAAAAAAGCATAAGTTGTTTGACTATGGTTGCTTTAAAATGCCATCTTTTTTCCTCTTAAACAAGTGGCCTGGGTTTCCCCATAATAATCCATTCTCCAAAGTGTCACAGGACAAACACCACAACTAAAAACCACATGATAGAAGACTTGTGTGCTAAAACAAGATCCCAGCAATGCAACCCAAACCAAACAACAAAGGACATTACTTGAGCTTTTAAGACTTAATTAACCATTTAGTGTGTGGTTATGGATGTCAAGCCTAAGAGAAATGAAATGGAGTTAAGAAAGTGAGGCTTGTATTGGGGTTGAAAGGCAGAGAAAAGGGTTTCTAGGAAACATAATGATTTAAGAGAATATTGTTCCATAAAATAAAGAGGTTCTATTCATTTACATTATTGTACAGAAAGAATTGAACCTAGAGAGAAGCCAGGATGGGAGCAGGAAAGAGAGGATGCTATTCATGCCTTGTTCATGGTGACCAAGAGTAGGCTTGAAGGTTAAAAATGAAGAAGTGGAGTAATTATTACATCATGCTATGTCAGGTTGTTGAGAAATGATTTTTTATCCCTAATTAAACTGAGTTCCTAGAGCTAGAGGCAAAAGACTCTATGTCCCAGCTTCCTGGGGGGGAAGATTCAATCTGGAGATAATTTTGGAATCTGGGACAGAAGTGAAAGCTGGAAGGACAGTGACCTTTAAGTAAAAAGATGAGTTTACCAGAGGCTGTGTCATTAATAATCTAAGAGAGTAAGTGATCCTCAATACAAGGGAGTGTAGGAAGAACTGAGGGTTTAGGAAGAGTAGTGAACATTCCTACACCACTGTTGTAAATGCACCCAGAACTCAAGGAGCAACAGCAAAACTAATAAACAGGAAGAAGAAGGAAAAGTGAGGGAGAGCATGAATCGATTCTGGATTGAGTTGATGCCATTCTGGGTGTTCTCTCAACCATGCCCAAGCTTGGGAATAGAACAAGCAGCTAGAACACAATATAATTCACATCAGTCCTTTCTGGCCATGTCTTACTCTCCTTTCTGATATAGTCTCTCCCCAAACCATACAATCACAGCAGGTATCTGTCACTGGTTTATATTCACTGCATTCTGGTCTCTGCACTGTGATGAGGATACTTATTACCTGTCCTGCAGCACATGGCACTTTGCCTTCTTCTCTTGATTATAAGATACTCTGACCTTTTCTCCTTTCCCTTAAAATGGCAGGGAGACATTTTCAGTTCTCTCTTTTTCAGCATCTAACAATGGAATACTGTCATCTTATGATAGCTACACCTAAATGGAATTGGTTTTATTTATTTTTCTTCTTCTAATATTTTATGTTAGTCTTAAATTGCTCTATTCTCTTGTATAATTTACTTTCTATTCTCAAAAATAATACAAGTTAAAAATATCAGCTGATAATTTTTGTATATCTCCCATACAAGATGAATCCACGAATCAGGTCTAACACTGCTTGCTCTCAGAACTTGAGAATATTGTGAGACTTGCATAATTCAATTGTGCAACAAGTTTGGTTTAAGTTCTGGCATCTGCTTAGTTGAGAACATAATCATAAGTTTGTTTCTAAATTTTGGCCTCTAAGATGCTATGTAGTTCTCACGAAATATTTCAGCTTGACTTCTAAAAACTTACCAATGTATGAAGGTAACAACGTTGACACAAGCCACAATTACACTTCTTGAAACTCTCTCTCTTTTTCTTGCAACATACTGAAAAAGAACAAGAAAAATGTTTATTTGTTTTTGGACAAATTCTGAAGTACACCATGATCTGGGCATTGTAAAAGGCTAGTTTTTTGGTAAATATAGCAGCAAAAGATTGCAAAATTGGGTGGGAAATTTACCTTCATAAGTATTATGACAGCTTCCCCAACTACTTAAAAAATTTTTTGTGTATTTACTGGAAATGCTTATATACCCTTAATATGTGTATATACATACATGGCATGATATGAGAGAAAGCAACACACTGAAAATTATTACCAAAGATCAATGAAGATAATAGTGCTGGGGCAATATGGGAAAAGGCAGTAGAGTAACACAGGTGAGTTACAGTAAGCTGAAAAGCATCTTAAATCAATGTGTCTAGGGCTAAGGGTGTGGTTCAAGGGATTGAGTGAGTGTCTAGCAAGTACAAGGCCCCGAGTTTAAACCCCAGTATAGCAAAAACAAACAAACAAAAATAACAATGTATTTAGCTTCAAAGAAAATAATAAGTAAGTTGAGAAAAGTTAAGGGCAGTAAAAAATATATTATGGATGCAAGACAAAGTCACTGAAAGTATTTTGAATAGGAAGTGACATCACAAATAAGGGCTTAAGGAAGACTGTAACAAACATTAAATACAGAAGGACTAAACAAAAGATTCTGTGGCAGCAACTCAGCCAACAGATATATAGACATAGATAAATATTGCCAAGAATTTAAGGAAATCAGTATATTTTGATAATAGTGTGGAAAAGAAAGAGAAAAGGAGAATGTACTTTTAGGGACATTTATGTGAAGGTATTCTATAGGTAAATAAAAATGTAGGATTGACGAGACAGTGCAGAAAGGGAAAAAAGACAGTAAAAGGTCAGAAATATGAAACGATTTGGGACATACTGGTTGAGAGCTGATCACGAGCGAACAACTTCTTACAAACATTATGAGCGTGAATATGCACAATAAAAGAAACACCAATGTCTAGCAAAACAAAATACCTTATCTCATTATCCTCTTCATTAATCTGTCTATTTTCAACTGCCCTTGTAAGATTTGGTTGTTTCTTCTGGAAAAAGAACAATGGCATATATTGTAAAAAAAAAAAAAAAGTTATCAATGACTGCTATATCTTTAAGAGGTTAGTGAACTTCACTTTTATCTTTAATGTCAATTAACTCCAACAACATTTTTTTCAGCATGCAGAATGGTTTTGCAAAAAATGATTTCAAAGAATGCATTTTTAGGATGTTGGGGGTGAAACAGCAAAAAAGAAACTGTCAGACTTAAAGAGTAATTAAATTCAAAAGATATTTCTAAAGGCTGAGTCATGATGAGTTAGCACATTCTAAAATTTTTAGACAAGCTTCAATAAGAAAAGAACAAAAGAACAGAAATTCAAAATAGCAGTAATACAAATGATTTTTCTATTTGGCTTTTAAGCACATCCTATGATTTTTCAGCATATTTTCTTCCATTTTATATTCAGTTCAAATTATTAAACCAGGTCCCATTCCTTAAGTGTGCATTCCCACATAGAGAGACTATAACCAAAGCTTAATGAAAAATTGTGGAAATGTTTCTTAAATTTAAATTTTGTTGAGACTATAAGTTAAGGTAAGACTCATTGTTTTATCAGTAAGATCCTTTCTTGGAAAAGAGAATTTTGCTAATCATATACATATATATAGCATGAGCAAATGAATAGGTAAAGTGAGTCAAGAGATTAAAAAAAAAAAAAAGTAACAGCAATACTTACCTTCCAGTATAAGGCTCCAAAAGCAAAGCCAATTGCAAGAGAAAAGAATGCTGGCAATGCCATGGCTGCCCATTGTAGGTCAGAGTCTCCAGTAGAATTTACTGCTTTCCCTGCAAATTTAAATTTAAAGAGCATCTGGTGAATACAGGAGGTCCCATCACATAGGTTTTCCTCTTACGCTGTGGTTGTTCTCAACTGTTTCCACAAAATGCTCTTGATCTATATCTGTTTAAAGTATTTGAAAGGCTGGTTTTTCTGCTAAGTATTATTTGTACAAAGCAGTAAGTCCACATAATCTCTAAAAGATGATCGTATTAAAAAGAAAAAAAAAGAAGACCCCAATAGACAGAAAGATTTCACTCGGTTAATGTTTATGCATATAAAACACACTTGGTGTATTCCTGGGGGGGATGATTTCTGCTATCAAGCAAATCCATCTCTTGTGTCTTTATCTTCTACTGCCTTCATTTTCTTACTCTCTTGACATCTTGCCCCCAACTTTTAAAGATGAAGCTTTACAAGCTGCACTGGGACTGTATGCATACATGTAGATTTGGTCTTTTGCAAATACTATCATCAAGTGTGCACTACAGGGATGATGTTTGTTAGGTCCCCATACTTAGAAGCATGACTGTTTGCTCACTCACATCTTCATCACACACTTACTGGATGCCAGGTAGTGCCAAGTATCGCGCTATGGGCTATGGGTTGTATTTTTCATTTTTACATTGAAAGCTTGAAACTATTTAAAGAATGGTTGAAGGCACCAGTGACACTTCACACAAAAAGTTTAAACAAGTAATTTTGTGACAAAGAGACAAATGGGATTGTCTTGCCACACCCCTTCCCTGGTCCTGTCTCATTCACCCATAGAAAGCAGAATGATTTATAAATCAAACAAAATACATTTTCCACAAGAATCTCTTCCTTCCGACACAAAACTTATAAGGACAAATTTTTCTATATGGCTTCTTACAAAGAAAACGTAGCTATTTGGAAGCACTGACACATATTTGCTAGTTTGTAAGAGTTAAAATTTGCAATTTTCTTTTGGACAAGTTATTAATTTCTAACAATTATCTCAGCAAAATGTAAACTAGTCATAAAGTGACTACTTTGGCTAATATTGCAAAAGTACTTGGGTTATAAGGTCTGCTTACAACTACCAATTTTATACCTAACATACCTAAAACACATAAAAGAACAGATGCACTGTGTGTGCATCATAATTTACAAGGGGAAAATAAACTTATAGAACAGGAACTCCCCATACCCCCAATATACATGAACTGCAAGAATTTCCTGTTTCCAAAGAGACTTCAATCTTAAGATGGTTCCATGTGTGCACATGTGCATATGTGTTCATGGGCATGTGTGCATGTGTGTGTGTGTGTTGGAGGGGAGGAGACAATAAAGGATGAATATCTACTATAAGGTGCAGAGGTTGGGCAGGCAGTTGTGGGAAGTAGGCTCACCATTTACATATCACAAATTGCCACCTGAGACAAAGTTCATGGTTCCTCTGGCCCACCACTCATCCTACAGCCCATGACAGACTGTGTTTTAGATATGTCAAACTGGTGTTCAATACGAATTTTCTCACTGAAAAAACTTGAGTTATAAAATGAGAGTGAATATAACTGGAGTAGTACTATTATTATAATATAGCTATTTTTAAAGATTATATAAGATTATGGGGGATAGTCTAGGATTTCACTACCATTCATAGAAGTGCTTTCTATGAGGAATAGGTTTGGAGGTGTAAGCAATTCCTCCTATTTTAGGGATTTTAGTATCATTATAAATAAATAAATAATAGGCTATTTGTGCTTGTATTTTCCTTGATGGACTTCCTGCTGTGGCCCCCACTGTCTACTAGGATTGCTAATTTTCACCACTTTGTTACACCCCTAGGACTATGAGCCAATTCAAGTACTGAAATCTATGACGCAGCATCAATCCTCCTGGGAACAGAGGAAGGGAGAGGAATCCCAACAAGGGAAAGAAAGGTACCTGAGCATCACCTCCTATAGAGGCCAATGTTATCTTACTTTTGTTATTTCACTCTTAAAAGCCAGGCTTTCAGTTCTCGAAGGACACTAATTCCCTCCTGCAGGAAGAGAAAAATAAGAAAACTTGCTTCCTCATCCAGGGAGGGCTTCTACCACTTGCCAACAGAGTTATCTACCGGGAATTAATGAGATTTGAACAGTATGCCATGAGGTCCATATGAAGGGCATTTGAGGCCAAAGCCCAAGATGATAAGAAAGGTTTGCTTCAATGTAAAGACTGCCTGCAGAGACCTTGAGGGAAGGAAAGCTCATCTGAACAGGATTTGATGAGTAATCCTAAATTCCTGGGTTATTACTAAATAGTGTCCTGTTATTACTAAAACTGTTCACTGCTGAAATTTCATGTGAATTGACTTGTTTGTTCTGACTAATAGTAATCAAAATCTAGAAAAATATAACACAAAGCAATGGTGCCATAATCTTGTAGTGCTTCTTTTTAGAATGTAAACCTGGTGAGGAACTCCATTACCAGTGAATGGTAATCTCTTGGTGCTTAGGAAACAAGCAAACAGATACTCCTTGATTCACATCCAAAACTCTTACATGTTTACCGCAATTACTGAGCCACAACCTTATTGTATCTAATTATCTTCATAATTAATGATGAACTCTCACTAGATATCAGGCATGACTCCTCATGTACTAACTCATTTAAACTCACAGAAAGTGTATAAAGGAGGGATTATCACCCTTGAATTGACTAAGAAGTTAGAGAGTTTAAGTAACTTCCCCAAGGTTTCACAGAAAGCCAAGGACTATGTCTGTATGCAATGTACATCCAGGCAGTCTGATTAAAAGGTAGGCTTGTATATTATACATTTCTTTTATATGCTGTGTTCCTCTGATTAGCACAGCCAGTTTTTCAGTCTTATACCTGAATATTACCATGTTTTCTTCAAATTTCCCTAACTGTTCTCCCATAAAAGTCTTATCTCCTTTCTGGTACAAGCAAAATAATTTATTAATTTTATTATACATACTATATCCTGTATTATATGGATTTTATTTATAGCTCTATCTTTTAGAATGTGAGCACCACAAGAGCTTGTCTGATGTATAGGTATAGATACCTATATACCTATATTTATGATTGACATCATAACTAGCCAAAAGTTGATGACAAATGAAAGCCCTATATTTTTTTCACAAAAGGAAGAAAAAAGAAATAAAAAATAAACAAAAAAGAAGACTGTCCATTCATCTTGCAATTTAAAATTTACCTTCAGATTCAGAGGCACAGGGTTGAATAGGTATTTTCATTTGATTTCTTTTGAAGTCAGTAGGAAAATCTTTTATTTCTAACCATGATGGTAGCAGACTAGTCTGACAAACCTACATAAATATATTATGGACAAATTATATGAGGTAACTACTTTCAGAAATTAGTGTTCAGCAGTATGAAAGCATAATTCCCAAGAGAGAGGAAAAATACAAAGTAAGACCCAGGATTGTCCTGGCTTTCTAATTTTTGGCTCTCCTGGCTGGGTGGCACTTTTCAAAATGAAGTTTGGAAGACAGAACCTAAACGAGCCTCAGTGGTCTCACCGAGACAGGGAGCCAGAGGTAGAAGTTCAGGTTGTTGATTTGGCTGGGGTTGTAAAGCTGGGTTATTTGAGGGAAGGTAGTTGTGCAAAGAAGAAGCACCATAAAATTCTACACACGCCTCCTTAAGCTATTGAACAAATAATAAGCTGTACATGCACATCACAAAGCCTGGCAAGAGCACAACTCTCAGGAAGCTCTAATCTTTGCAGATACGCTACTAGTCAAATAGCAACGAGGGACAAAGGAGTTCTGACAAGCAAGATTCTTGGGAATTTTCTTACCACTGTAGAGATGCCTCAGAAATCCCATGCCTTAAGGTAAGGGTCTCTCTCATCCCTGAGCTGACAAAAGTTTAATTATAACCCTGGAAACGAAAATAGCTCATCTACCAACCATTAAGTGAACCTTCTCTTCTACCAGAGCAAAGTGCAATGGCCTTTACGGAAATGCTACAAAATTCAACAATATTGTACCCATCATACTCAGTGTCTGTTCAAAAATTACTAATCCTTTAAAAGGGTATTTGACCCCCAGTCAAGGAGAAAAAAGACAATAGACACTACCCTTAAGATGATCTACATGTTGAAATTAGGTGACGAACTCTAGAACAGCTATTATGCAAACGGACAAAAAAAGAAAATATTTTCATAATAAATATATAGATGAAAAATACAAAAATAATCAGATGCAGATTTTAGAATATAAAGTACAAATCCAGAAATTAAACTGAATGAAAAAAAAAAATCACTGAATGAAACACTCAGCAGATTAGAGACATCAGAAGAAAAGGTTAGTGAACTGGAAAACATACAAGTAGAAATTACCCACTGAGAACAGTAGAGAGAAAGGAGAAGGGCTAGGGATGTAGCTCAGCAATGAAGTACTTGCCTAGCTTGCTCAAAGCCCTAAATCAGATCCCAGCAATGAAAGAAAAGAACATATGCACACAAACCCCAAAATAACAACAGCAGCAAAACCCAGAACCGCAGAAGGAAAAGAGGTTTAAAAATGAATAAAATTCTTGTGATCTATGATACAATATCAAACTGCCTAAAATGTGTGTGATTGGTATCTCAGAAGGAGAGGAACAAGAGGATGAAGAAAAAATATTAACAAAAATTGTGGCCAAATTTTGGGGGGGAATAAACATAGATTTAAGAAGCTTGACAAATTCCAAGAAAGATACATAAAAAGAAAAATCACTCTCACAGGCACATCTTAAACTGCTAAAGCAGAGAAAAATTTAAAAGAAAGCAAAGGGAACAAATGACCCAGCACATACAGAGAAAAGCATAATACAAATTATGGCTGCCTTTTTTTTCAGATACAACAGCTGTGTGAAGAAAATATAATAACATCAATGGAAAGAAAAAGAATTGTGTTAACACAGAATTTGATATCTAGTAAACAATACCTATGACATGCAAGACAAAATATAGGCGTTTCCCAATTAAAAATAAAAAGAATCTATTGTCAGTAGATCTATACTGTAAGAAAAGTTAAAGGAAGTTTTTCAACCTGAAAAGAATTAACATCAGATAAAAACTTGGATTTACAAGAGGGAATGAATGGTATAAGAAATTTTAAAAAAATGTAGGCGAATATAAGAGGCAACATTTTTCCTTTTCTTCCTTTCATTAAAAGACATAATTATTTAGAGCAACAATTTTAAGACTATATTTATTGGGCTTATAACTTACATAGAAATATAGATCAACAGCATGCAAAAGATGTATATGGATACAGTAACAAAGTGCAATGCTCATAAGTTAGGATGCATATTTTAATTTCTAAAACCAATACCCCCAAAGTGCAAAGAGATGTTGTAAAAAAGCAAACAGGTTAGGGGTGGTGGCACTTGGAAGGATGAGGCAGGAGAATCAGAAGTTCAACCTGGGCTATAAAGCAAGATCCTGTTGCAAGAAAAAAAAAAATTTGAAAAGCAAATAATAATTAAAATGAAATACTAAAAAAATTAACAAAAATGAGAAAGAAGGAAATCAATAAAACATAGGACAAATACAAAAGAAGCACAAATGGGAGATTCAAGTCCAGCCATACTAATAATTTATTAAATATAAATGGTTGAAACATTCAAATTAAGAATCAGAGAAGACTAGATAAAATAGCAAGGTTGTATACTGTCAATAAGAGGTACACTTTATAAATACAGATAATAGTTTGAAAATAAAGAAAAAATAGGTATATTACAAAAACAGTAAACATAGGAAGATTGACTTTTCTAATATCAGACAAAGCATAAGTCAAGACAATGAGCACTATCAGGTTAATAAGTCAGGGAAGATGTAACAATAATAAATGAATGTATACAGTAACAGAGCTTCAGAATATATGAAGCAAAAAAACTCAGAACCAAAAGGAGAATCAGGCAAATCCAAAATTTAAAGGAAATATCGTTAATTCACCTTGATCAGTAATTGATAAAAAGTAGACAAAAAATTAGTAAGGAATGTAAGATACGAACCCTATCAAACCACTTTGTCAAATTGAAAAGGCTACACCTAAATGAACAATACATGCAATTCTCAATAAATTGCAAAAGATTAGGGTGTTTTAAATAAAGAATTAAGGAACCAACAATAAGATATCTATAAAAATTCCAAACTTTTAGATATTAAACAACCAAATTCTATATCATCCATGAATCAAAAAAATGACAAGAATTAAAAAATAATTTGAGGTAGACATGATGGTACATGCCTATAATCCCAGAACTCTGGAAGGCAGAAGCAGGAAGATTCCAAGTTCAAGGCCACCATGGTCTACATTAAGGAGACTTTGTCTCAAAGAAGTTAGACAGAGTTGAGTAAATTAAACTCTAAGTCAGTAAGAGGAAGGAAATACTAAAGATGAAAATCAATGAAATACAAAATGAGAATTTAAGAAGCCAAAAGGTGCTCCTTTGAAAAGATTAATAAAATCCATATTTAGTAGGAAAGACTAAAATTGACACACACCTGCAGGATGTAGTCCCTTTGTGAAGCTTTTTAGATCTTATGCATGTAATTCAAAATTCCAGAATTTAGAAGATTCTGTCCTACAAATCTTCCACTATACTCAGTGAGTTCTGGGTAGCATCCTATGATCAAACACACTGATATTCTATGCTGAAATGTATAAATATTCATTTTTAGAAAGATAAAAGACTGTAAGTAGTTTCATCTCAGCTAAGGTCAAGTTTTGGAGGGGCAAAAATCTAAAAAATTGCATTTTAGAGAGTTTTAAAGAAAATCTACATTGTAGACAAACTGTTGTGGATTTGTGATGTTTCTCCCTTTTCTACAAAAAGGTCTCCTGTGTTCCTAAGCAAATGGCCCATTTATAAGTCACAAGGGATGGCTCTAGTTAAGATCACCAGATTTTTTTTTCTTCTTACTGCTTCCATGAGGCTAGAGGGTATACAGTAAACACAATGACCTTTATAATGACCTTTGTGTAGAGCTGATAAAAGAACCGTCTTCCAGGGACCTAGGTTCTTGGGCAAAGAGGACAAAAATTTCACAACAAGAGCTGGCAGAATGGCTCAAGCAGTAGAGCATCTGCCTTGTAAGCATGAGGTCCTGAGTTCAAACCCCAGTACTACCAAAAAAAAGAAAAGAAATTTCAAGGAAAGAAGTATATACTTCTCCACCATACACTTTTATGGTAAAATGACAAAAACATCAAATTTCCAAATGTACACTAGTGAATACTGCTATACAAATACTCAAAACTGAAAATATCCTTGGAATTCTACACAGCCAGCATTTATACTTCCAACTTTAAAATTGCATTTGGTCAGGCACTTCTCCACGAAACAGATATTAAATATGTAATGATAAAAAGTCTACATCACACTTCTAAAATTAATTTTATCTTAGCATTATTTCATGCTCTAGGGAAATCAAATTCTATAAACCAGATATTTGATTCTCAGGAAGACCATAAGAGGAATAACAGTAACAGAACAGTTAATAGTAATAATTTATAAGTTTCCTTTCAAGCCCATGCAATACTCCTATAGCGGCTAATTGGAGCCATGCATGCATTAAGTCAGACAGGTGTACTTACTATTACTGCTACTGCTGTCATTCCTAAGGGAGCTGGCTGCAACAGGGGGTAACATAAATGGTTTTGTGACACTGACTCTGGAATCTAAATAGAAAGCAATAATGTGTCAGTGTTATATGGTGATTTATATGAATTACAGAGTTCCCAAAAGGTGAAGTGCAATATCAGACTATGTGAAAAGTCTGCTTCCCAAGTCGAGATTACTTGTATCCTACTTATTTCATAGTGAGTCCTGCTGTTCTATTTAAGAAATTTACCAGTCACCTTGTAGAACAAAGATTTGTTGCACACATATACTAATAAATGTGAATAATGACAAGTTGTTGGTAATTTGCTTTTTACGAAAAGAAAGCAATGAGGTTTTGAAATAGGTACCCAGTGGCAGAAAATAAAAGGTGAGGATCAGAATTCATGACTCCGATTTAGATCCTTAAGGAAAATATGTGAGAAAGGAACATGAAGGAGGTTGGAGGTAAGGAAAAATATAATTGTATACTATTAGCAAATATCAGATAAGAAAAAATATGAGCAACCATCTCCTCATATTGTTTCTTCATAGATAATTCTTTTTAAATGACTGAATATTGTTTTGTCTTGGAAATCAACACATTCACAATCAGTTTCTTTTGTGCCACTGATATTTGCTTTTATTAGTAAAACACATGTATCTTTTTAGAGATACACATGTATTTAATCCAGAAGTAGATTCTTACAGATACACAATTCAAGCTAGCTATTTACATTTAAATTGGCAATGCTTATGTTCCTTACCTTTCTCAGGACTTAATGTTGAAGAAAGCACACAATCGCTAGTTTCAGATGATGCCCTAAAGTCCTTAAAGGCATCAATGGATCTATTAAAAATTCTAAAGAATTCTTCTGGAGTAAAGAGCCTGGGTTCTGGCCTCTTAGATGATTCTTTTACATTCTACACACACACACACACAAAGGCAAAACAGAACAAAAACCAAGATTATGTTTTTCAAACAATCTATAGACTTACTGAGGTCAAGATAATGGACTATAAATATATATTTCAAAGATTCACTATTTGAACTCTACAAGCTAACACTTTTAGAAAGCTGTCTTAATGTACATAATTGAAGTTTGTAATGTAGGATAATCCAGATTGGGTAATGAGATCCCATTTGAGTCCCAAATGGTTGGGACTCAACTCATGTCCAAAGCAATGTGGGGAGGTGGAGGAGGAGGGCAATTAATACAATTTCATAGCAATGATGAATGGATCCTGACAACAAATTGAGTACATTTTTTAAAAAGAGATGCCCATTAAAACAATAGTGTTGATTTATTGGCGCATAACCATGCTCCAATATTCAAAAGTTAAAATTCTGATGTTATTAAATATTGGCAAGATGTTGAATGAAGGTAACTCTTAAATTCTACATGTAAGTTGGCACATTCAATATTATCTAGAAAAATCAGGCACGTGCCCATCCTATAACCCAGAAATTTCCCTCCTACGTAAACACTCTACTGAGACTCTTATACATATGCGTTATAAGACATAGTAGAAAGTTTCCAACCCTTACATCAGTCATCAGAAGGACTTAATAAATAGGGGTATTCTGAATCAATAAATACTCTATAAGCAGTAAAAACATTCACAGCTATGTATATCAAAGTTAGTACATCTTATTATCAATACTGAGTAAAAGAAACAAGTCACAAAAGAATAAGAATAGTAGGATTAGTTCATACAAAATTTAAAAAAGCAAATCAGAACTATATTTTAAGGACACATAAATGGGTGTTTTTAAGAAAAAAAACAAACAGGTAATAATGAACACCTATATATAACTTACAACATGGTATTCTATGTGCTTTCCATATCCTGATCCCAAAAGCAATCAAGAAATGCCATTTGCAATCTTCTGTGTTCTAGACAATGTGCTATGATTAATAAATGCAGTCTTAATTACTGGCAATGTCTAACATTGCTATTTATTGAATACCTAACTTATTTTAAGGCCTCAAGGCATACACTACTTCCTATAATATACATATCATATGTAGTATGTATAAGGTACATTCCTATAGTAATGTGCCTTACTCTTTGTGATCTCTACTTCTTATGAATGCCATTAGCACACTATCTGCAGGAGTAACATGCTATTAAAAAGATGTTAATGCTAAGATGTCATTAATTTCAAGATACATTCTGACTTCAGATATTAGAAAGTGGAACAGAGACAGTAAAATACAGAGATCAGATTATTAATATGGCAAGAATTCCAAGATTGGAAAACACAAGTGGGACTGATGTTGAGTCTTTAAAAGTAGGTGGAATTTTGGTTGGTGGGGAGCAATCAGGTATTAAGGTTCAGATTCATGTTTAGAACTTTGGGTTTAGCCTTCTAGAATTCCAGTAGGTGAAATTTTAGTCGTTTGATCTCTATACCACAGCAGGTCTCCCCAGCCCTAATCTATCAGAGAGACAGTACTATAAACAATAATGTCAAATTTCATAAACATTTATTTTGCCAGACGTGGTGCTAAAGCACTCATCACAAACCCTATAATATCAACCCTTAAGACATGGATCCTCCATCATCCCCATTTTAGGCATAAAAAAATGAGGCACAGAGAAGTTTGTTACACAATGCTAATTAGTGACAGATCCAGAATTGAGCCAACATTTTACTTTAATTTCTTAAGTTCTGCAGTATACTACCTATTTCATATGGTTAAAAACCAAAGAAATTTCATATCCACATCTTGAAATTGGTGATAACCAATTATACAATGACTTTGAGAGCCCAAAATACACTTCTTTGTTGTAACCTATGAGATGATTACATTACAGATAATATGGCAAAAATGAGTTCGTTACAAACAACATTCTGTTTAAATTAACCTGTAATTTAATAGGAAGGTTATGTAGACTTCATTCACATATGAAATAAAAACAAGACAAAGGCAGAACTGTTTTTACATTGTAGTATAAAAATTTATTTTTATATTAAACAATATATAAGTCTGAATGTATATTTTTTAGTATTATAGCATAGCTACAAACACTTGTTTTCTGGGCTCATCTTAAACTATTTTTAAATTCAAAGTTTACGCTCAAAACAGCACAAAATAAATATGTTCCCTATCTTCTAATACCTAAGTTTTAGAGAATAACAAACAATCCCAATGTACACAGTTACCTTAAGTGAGATGTTATCCACGCAATACACAAGGTCATCCACTATTTTCCCAAGTTTGTCTATGATGGAATAATTACTCAAGCCTTCAGAAATATTTGAAAACTTGTCCAGAAGATTAGTCAGGCTGACTGACAATTGTTTTACCATCTCCTGTAACCAACAATGACTAGGCTGGAAGAAATGGAGAGAAGAGACAAGGTATCTATTTTAGTAAGTGCAATAAATTTAGAGTGAACCTCAAAACTAAATGTTTTCGCTACTGACGACAGGACAAAGGATTTCCTTGTAGCAGAACAGGTCAATTCTTGTGTTTTGCTTAACTCAGACCTAATATCCAGTTTCAAAACTGACAAATGCATAAAGACCATTGATGTCACAGGTTTTGCCCTTCCATGGAAGAAAAGTCAGACAATACAAAGACAATCCTTACCCTTTACAAAGTTCAAATATTAATGAAATTAAACTCTACTGGATATTATTCATAATTTACTCATTTTGTTATCAAAAAAATTTTAGATGTAGAGGGAATTACAAAATAAATTACTGAGGGAGAGTGTGCTAGCCCTTCAAGGAAGTCCCAGTCTTTTGGTGTACTGGACTATAAAATAATTGACTAATAATAGCTTATGTTCCTGAAATATTTGATAGATGCCAATGCTTCTAAACAGATAAAATCATGTAGATGTTTTTAAAAGCAACCCTGATGTCCCAGTACCACCAAAATAAAATAAAATAGCCCTGGCAAGAATTTGGTCCAAGATCTGAATAGAAGTGCTTTTGCCTAGTGGAAGGACGAGCTATGTTCTTAGTAGAATCCAAAGCAAAATGAAAATGTATTCCTTGTTTAAAACTATTATTCAAAAACTATTAAGCTTTTCAAGATTGTGAGAGTGGTACATTAATCCAAGCAGGGAGCCCAGCCCATAAAGCCAGGTTTGCCCATAATTAGATGCTCAAGCCACACACGGCTGGGCTCAATCTTGCTGTGAAACTCCAGGCAAGCTACATAAATTCTGTGACCCTTGAATTGCCTGTGTATGGAATGAGAATAATGGAACCTTCCATAAGGGAATAATTTGAATAAGTTGCATGAGGACAATATTTGTTTTTAAAAAGTCTTTTTCCCTATCATGTTCCCTCCGACCTGGAACATGCTGGCATATGGGAGCTGCTCAGAAGCTATTTTCTGAATGAATGCATGAACAAACAAACAACAGTGAATAATGAGAAAAAACACTCTTTATCAGGTGTTTAGTGTACTCTGCAAAGGGCAAGAGAGTTAATATTTCAGGCTTGGTGTACCAAGAGTTAAAACAAAGGATATTATGGTAGGATACATTTACAACAAGATAAAGCATATTTCCACACATTTTTTTTGCAAAATTCAAAATGTAATAATCTTTTGAAATATGGATCTACTAATGAGAAAAATGGATTTCTTTTTTGGGGGGCTGTATTGGAATTTGAACTCAGGGCCTTGCACCACCACTTGTGCCATGCCCCCAGTCCTTTCTGCTTTAGGTTATTTAGGGTCTCCTTCTTTTTGCATGGTGCTGGCCTTGGATTCTGATCCTCCTACACATGTCTCCAGTGTAGCTAGGGGGTCACAACTATATGCCACCGTGCCTTGCTTGTTTAGTGAGATTGGGTCTCACTAACGTTTGCTCTGGCTGGCAAATTCATCATAACTAACTTCTCAAAGACTACATGTTAACAAAGAATGTTCAGAATGGATCGTTTGTTTTTTAAATCACCACTCATCTAAAGCGCATGCAAGTTCCTACTTGCATCATTAACAAGTCTCTTTCAAAGCTGTCAGTCTTTCCTTGGGTGCTTAATTGCTCTCCAAATATCTCTCCTATTAGGCAGTGCTAACTTCGTTTAGGTAGTCTACCCTATGAGCAAGGGCTGATAGGATATGGAATACAGCAAATAGTGTATTTGAATAGTATTTTTGCGTTCACATACTAGGTGCTTAAAAGCTGCTTTTATTGAGAAACATGGACTCCTTACTTGGGCCAACAGATTAACTAAAAGCAGGAATCCCAGCCTCCATTTTGTATCTGTCTTTGTCTGAGCCATTCTTTCATCTTGGGTTCCAGGAAGGACAGGACTGATTGATAACTATGACAAGGGACTGAAACTACCCCCAAGCAACAGTAAACCTCACAGGACAGATCACCTCGGAAATGAGGGCAATCACCAGAGCTGGAGTAATCTCCAGCACCCTGGAGTAGGCATAATCAATCTCTTGGGAACCAGATTGCTCCCCTCAAGTGATGACAGTGATAACAACTGCTAGATAATGGTTTACCAGGACCCACCCAACCAGTCCTGAGACAATGTACTGTGAGACTACCTGGGCCACCTCTGACCACCAGAACACACCTGCAACTGGGGCTGTTTTTGCTTAATTTTTGCCCCCTGCCCTAATTCTTTATCTATCTCAGGCTAAAGCTCATGCCTGTACCCTGAAGATGGCTGGAGACAAATTGAAGTGCTGTCTTCCTGTGGCTGCCCAGTTTACATAATGAATCTCCTTTCTCTGCCCTAAACCATGTGTCTTTCTTTATTTGGTATATAGTGGCAAATGGCTGGACCAAACATGGAATCCCAGGAGTTTGGGCCTGGGGTCCAAAAACTCCAGTTTCAGCAGGCTAGTCTTCACCAACTAGTTCATTCAGCGGTAACTGTGCAAATTTTTCTGTGTTAATTAAGTTCCATATACTAATCTCTTAAAACTCTTTGTTCAATGTTACAAATATTCTTGCCTATCCTTCTCTCAGATCTTCTGACAAGTAACAACCAAAATTAAATTCCTTTGTTTTGAATTAAGGCATTCCTTTTGTTTCTGTGGTTGTTGCCTTACATGAATGGGATCTCTCCCCCACCCCCCGGCCTTTTTTTTTTTTTTCTTTTGCAGTTAAAGTAGAAAAGATTTTATTTGTTTCTTTATTTTCAAACTGGAGAGTTCTGGAGTATTTACTGGTATTTCTTCTGCTTTTCTTTATTTTCAACTAAACTCTGTTTACATTTTGTATACTACTTTCTATTCAGTTATAACGCCTCCAGCCCCCATTTTCACATACCTAAATCAACAGCCTGAACAATCAAGTTTTTTTCACCAAAATTTTCAATGCTAATCCTATGGTCTCTTATAATTAAATGTCAGAAATCGTACAATCTAATGCTACCCCAACCTTTCAAAAACATTCATTTCAATATGCTGACAGCTGATAAAAATTTCTTGACTACACTGCTGAATAACCATATATTTTTAAAATCCTCACTGCTGTATTCTAAATGTTCATTCTTGCTTGTGCCATAACTCTCTTGCAAAAGACTATATCATCAACTCAAAGTTCTGTTTATTAATTTGTTTAGCCAGCTGCATATTAGCCTTTTAAGATTCTTGGTTTCATTAAAGATAAAAACCCAAGTGAACAAATAATATTAAATGTCAACTTGTTTTGACTTGCCTGCCTTTCAGAGGAAACCAGTTTTGACTGGAACATCAAACTGTTTTGTATTTTTTTAATTAAAGATAGTCAATGGTTTGCAAAGAGACCCAAACACAATGAACTACTTCATTTGTGAGATGATAGGAGCTCTTTCTGTTTTCAGTTCTTCCAAGATTATGATTATGAAATAAGTGATTAAATGTTGTCAAATTCACAAACAGAATTTTTTCCTCTGCCTTAATAAATAGCATTATCACTGCTTCTTATCTTTCAGAAACAGTTTTAAACTGAAATAGTTTAAAATAAATATTGACTCACAACATTCATTAGAAGAACGTAAGATATAGTGTTCTCTCTTTTACTGTAATCAGTTACAGGAGATGTTAAAGAGATGACATAAAGAGTAGTGTTCAGATTCCTGAAGTACATGTGGCTTGATTTCATTCACCCCTATGCATAGTTATCAAAAGAAGAAATACAGACTGCTTTGAATAGAAACCATGCCTGGATTTTTCCATGACTCCGTGCTACATATAATTGCTACCTTTTTTCTTGGTAGCTTCTGTCTTACATTTTATGGATAAATTAGAGCAGCCCTGTCTAGGACTACTGAACACCATGCACTTTTTATTGTTATATACTTACAACATGCATTATTCTAGAATGCTGACCCCATGATATTGAACCAATGTCCTTGGCCTGCTAGCCAATCATATTCTCTCTCTCTCTCTCTCCTCTCCCCCCCTTCCTTCCCACCACCCCCCTTTCATTTTTTCCTCTCTCTTTTTCTGGCAGTACTGAGGCTTGAACTCAGGACTTTGCACGTGCTAGGCAGGTGCTCTACCACTTGAGCCACACTCCCAGTCCTTTTTTTGCTCTAGTTATTAGTTATTTAGCTACTTAGGACCTCATCGTTTTTGCCCAGGGCTGATCTCAGACCATGATCCTCTTACCTACAGCTTCCTGTGTAGCTGGAATCACAGGTATGAGGCATCAAACCAGTCTTCTTGATTGAAATTTGGTCTCCCAAAGTTTTTGTCTGGTCCTTGAACCCTAATCCTCCCCATCTCTACCTCCTGAGTACCTGGCATTACAGGAGTGAGCCACCACAGTTGGTCCTCTATTTGCTTTCTTCTTGGGCCTAAATTTGTTATCGACCATGAAAATTCTCTGTGAAGGAGATTCTGAAGGAGCTCTGGCTTCTAAACCTAGCCTCTAATCCAACTAATCTAATTATCAGCAGCAGTCTAATTCCAGGGCAGGCAAATATAAAACTTCCTATAAAAGCACTTTGCAAAACCTTTGTGTGTTCACATTACTAGCACAGGATATCCAAAATCTTGTCTCCTTTTTGGATAAGCTGGGTTTTCCAATTGATTTTAGTCCTCTCCTTAGACAATTTTCTTGGATCTTCAGTGTTTACTTTAGTCGTCTAACTTTGCATTTTCTTGTTTGAATTAAAGTAATGTAGAAGCCTCAAACTAATTAAGATAGTAATCAACCCAAGCACTGTAAATACATGTTATTTCCCAGAGCAGGGCTATAAATAGCCCCTGAGCCAGACTTCAGGTAGCACAACGAAGAACATCAGGAGATGAGGTAGCGATGATTGATGGAGTGGAGACCCAGTTTTCAATCCCAACTCTGTCAACTCACTTTATGATTTCATACAAGTAACAAAGCAATTTAGGGCATCCATTTCTCCATCTA